CTCTCTGCCTGATGTGAACGGCGACATTGCTGTGAGTGGTGGCAACATCGCGACACTGCTGTAGTTCACAGCGTCGTGCATCGACTCCTCCTCCATTTTCCCTCGTCGTCTCTCTGCTTGTTGTGAACGACGGCATCGTCCCTGCAGCAGTTCACAACGTCGCGACGCTACCGTGTGCAAACTGTACAGCTGTCGGTGGGTGTGTGTATGCTGTGGGTGTGTGTGCAGTGGCGGAGTGGAGTTGTGGTGATGGTGTTGTGTTGGGGTGCGATGGTGGTGTTGATGCAGGTTGTAGTGGTGTTTGACCAGCTATGGTACTGTGTGGTGTGTGATGGGTTCAAACCTGATTGTTGGTGTTGATAGTGTGTGGTTGGATGCGGTGGCGGTGGTGATTCTTGCGACGGTGGTGTTGGTACTGGTTGTCGTCACCAACTAATTTGAAAATCTGTGACTGTGACCTATAAATTTTGAAATATGTAACCAACGAATTAATTGTGACCTGCAAACTTTTTTATGAGACCAGTAAAAAAGTAAGTGACCAACTAATTTGGAAATCTATGACCTGCAAATAATGTGATTGAAAATTAATTTTTAATTAATTAATTGGATATATGTGAACAAATTGCATATAATTGTGACCTTAACAATTGTCGGAATCGGAGCAGTAGTCGGAATTAAGCACGATCGAGGAACAATTGTCGATCGTCGAAACAGTAAGGGTGGTGGTGGTGGGGTGGGTTAATTATATTATATTACAATTAAATATTTAATTAATTAATAAATACCTGATTTTTACAATTTTGAAACTTAAACCCTGATTTTTACAATTGTCAAAGTTAATACTTGATTTGTTAACTCTTCCCTTATTTTATATAAATGGCCCAAACGACTTCCAAATTCATTTACACAAACGGCCCAAATACTTGTAATCCCTCAAAATCTCTCGTGACAAACGGACATAGTTCATGGGGTACTTTTCAGTTTGCCCAAGTCAAACGTGCCATTTTCCATTTTGCCCAAAAAATTTTACCATTCAC